ACATTGATAAAAACATAACTCAACTAAGGAAAACAGTTGTGAAAGAGTTATTCTTTCCTAAGTTGATAAGGGAGTTCTTAAAAGTGACCCCAAAAGTAAAGTCCTTAATGATCCTCCTGGTCTTAGTCATCAGAGACCTTTCTTCCTTAGACAGACCCATAACTTTGTTCCACAGGCACTTGAAATTGGATTGACTACTCAAGCCCTAACCAGCAAATTTTGGCTACTTGACACAAGGCATCTTTCTTGAATGTCATGTCCTCTAAGCTACAGACATATGCAGGGAACCCAATTCTCCCTCCACCCTTTGAAATAAATAATCTCAAAACCTCTAATTGCTCTCTCTGCTTCCAGTCTCTACTCTCTCTCATCCATCTCTCCATGTGATTGCCAAATGAATATTAATCACCTTTATGTAAGAACTCAGGATCCGACTGGAGTTGGGGCCTGTTACAGAAAACTTGTCATTTCCCAAACTAATAGCATGATACCTTCAAACACTAGATTATCCAAAAAAGTTAAGCCCCTTGACTGAGGAAATTCCTTTGTGCTTCTTTGGGACATGGGACTCATAGTCTCAAGGAATGAACGCATTTCATGTCAACCACATGTATCTGAAAGCCTTCAGATTAACTTTTTATGTATTGTGATGTAGCATTGTCTATGTCGGTGTATTTTAACAAACAAAATTTCCATACTGACCAGTAGGCTCTATCTAAGTATCTTTAAATCTTTTGAGAGAGGGGTGCTACACAGAGATAGCCTGATCTCCATCTTTTATGTGATTAAGCATACAGATGCTATTTGATCAAATGGGAGAGTGTTTAAGATTTAGCCTAGGTTATACATTCCTTGAGAGCAGGCAGGCTTTCATTTTCTATCTTCTCCAGCACTTAGTACAATGCCTTGCACATAATAGACCCTTTACAAATATTGTTGAGTTAATAAATGGAAAAATGACTTAAGAGAACTGGACTGAAGACCCCCTAGCAAGTATGGTGACCTCTTCAGCAAATAACTTAAAAAGGGAGGCAGAGTTGACTTGAAGGATGAGAGACTTGTTCTGCCTCTGAGCTCCCCTCAAAAGTAACTCCAGGGAAGAACAAGTATTCCAATTTTTGTTTCCTTTATTCCATGAAGAGTGCCATAACCACTAATGCTTTTTCTTAAAAAAAAAAAGTTTTAGGGGTAGCTAGGTGGTATATTGGATAGAGCACCAGCCCTAGAATCAGATGGACCTGAATTCAAATCCAGCCTAGACATTTGACGCTTCCTAGCTGTGTGGCCCTGGGCAAATCACTTAACCCCATTGCCTAGCCCCCCCCCCAAAAAAAATTTTTATTGGTTTTTTTTATTTTCCACATCATTATGGTTTCCCTAATGTGTCTCCCTCTCTTCCTCCCAAATAATGAAGTGTTTTTTTTTTAAAGAAAAAAATAACAAGAAAAAGAAAAGGGGAAAATCGCAAAACCAATCAATACACTGAATAAGTCTGAAAAACAAGTACATTGTGTGCAATACCTGTGGACCACTCATCTTTGCAAAGGGATGTTAGGAATATCCTCTCATACCTTTTCGTTCAGGCCATGATCATTTATTTATTTATTTATTCATTCATTTATTTATTTAGCTTAGGCAGCTGAAATTAAGTGACTTGCCCAGGGTCACACAGCTAGTAAGTATTAAGTGTCTGAGGCTAGATTTGAACTCAGGTCCTCCTGACTCCAAGGTCAGAGCTCTATTCACTGTGCCACCTAGCTGCCCCCCATGATTATTCTTTATAATTTTCCTGCATTCACTTTTGATTTTGTTTCATGGTTATTCTTTCCGTTTCCATTTCTTATTGTGTTGATCTGATTTTCAGTCCTCTTCTTTGTAATCATTTAAAAACTAAAGGCTTATCAATTTTATTAGTTTTTTTAAAGAGCTTTTAGTTTTATTAATCATTATCTATCATTTTTTTAGCTTCCAGTTTATTTCTCCTCTAATTTTTAAAATCTCTCCTTTTGTGCTTATTTTACCCCCCTGCCAAAATCATGCCTTTCTAGGCACGGGTCTGAAGACATCACTGCCTTGCCTCAAAACCTTCAGTAACTCCTCACTTTCCTAGACACAACATAAACTTTCCAGTCTGGCATTTAGTTCCCCTCCCCACCCCCTCCATCACTTTTAAGAATTATTACTTCTCTTCACACACGCTATGTTCCAGTCACACTGAACTACTAGATGTTCTCTGAATTCAACAATTCCCAACTCTGTGTACTCCCACAGGCCACCAGGGGACACGAATGTACTCCTTCATCTCTCTTGGACTCCTTGTCTTTCTTCATGGATAAAACTAAGTGTTGCATTTTCTATGAAACTTTTCTTGACTAGGTTAACACCCTCTTCCTCCTCAAATTACCTTGAGGTGATTTGTACTAAATTATAATATTTGTTTACATGTAGCTTCCCACACCCATCCCAGTAGAATGTAAGTTCATTGTAGGAAATACCTTAAAAAAAAATTCTTAGGGACCACTATATAGTAGCTGCTTACTTGTTTAGTGGGCCTGAATGGAAGAAAGGGCCTCAAGATTTTAAGCTATAAGAATTGGTTACAGAAACTGGATGTTTAGTTTGGAAAAGACTCGGGGTGGGGGAGGTGAGGAGAGAAGAGAACTGACTTCTGGTATTGTAAGGGCTATTCTGCAGGACTGGACAGATCCTGCTTGGCCATAGCAAGCAGAGCTAGGTGAAAGTTGCAAAGGTATTTAGGTCTGTGAGGAAAAACTCCCTAACAATCTAGATTGATCTTCAAAGGAAAACAAGATGCCTCTGAAGGTAGTGGGTTCTCCTTCACGTAAGCCCTTTAAGTGAAAGCTGGACTTGTTGGGAAATTGTAACAGATTCTTGTTCAGGCGTAAGTTAGGCCTCTGAAGTCCCTTTCAATTGTTGATGCAGTGAAAAAGGGAACTTTAGGTGCCACACGGGACCATTCAACTTACCCACTTAGGACTGCTTCATCTGTAAAATACTGGACTAGATGATCCAAGATCTAGGATTCTATTCCTCGGCTTCATAGCTTTCTTATCCCTGTCTGAGCTAATCAAGGGGGTAAAGGCTAACCAAGATCCTATATCCTGGATTCTTAAAATTAAGTACAGGGTGGAACTGCTAGCTCAGACTGGGTAGAATTTGGTCTGGACAAACAAGAGAAATGACTGTCCACATTCACGTCCAATTACCTTCACTTCACTAACCTGACAAGCACAGATGGTAATATGTAGGTTAAGGACTCTTCTGATGAAGGGATGCGTACGCAGGCTCTACAGCTGAGGCAAGCTGTTAAAATGCAAGAGCTTCTGGGTCCTGGCCTAACCACAGCCTGGGAAGTTATTCTTTGCTTTGCTTTTTGGGAAAAGTGGAAAGAAGATTCCTGCCTTATGCAGCCCAGCCTCACTTTGAAGACCCTCATGCAAACCTGCAGGCTGGGTTTACCTAGCTGTGGCTGGCTCTGATGATGTGACCTCTGGTTTCAAAAAAGACTAAAGGGAAAGTTTAACGATCATTCTCCCCTGCCACGTCCCAACTTTTGTACCAAACGAACACAAACCCAGCATAACATTTTCACATTAATTATCTATACATGTTCCCCTGCCTTATTTTAGAATTTCTTTTTCTAAGAAGGGAGGAAAATTTCCTCATCTCCAATTGTGGGAGTCTTCACAATTTACTCCCATCTCAAGAGTTAGAGAATCGGCTACCTTGGCCTTAAAAGTCAGGTGCAGGGGGACAGCTAGGTGGCGCAGTGGATAGAGCACCAGCCCTGAAGTCAGGAGGACCTGAGTTCAAATCCAGCCTCGGACCAAACACTTGACACTTACTAGCTGTGTGACCCTGGGCATGTCACTTAACCCCAATTGCCTAAAAGAAAAAAAAATAAAGGAAAAAAAAAAAGTCAGGTGCAAACACATCTCCAAACTTGTAAAAATTTGATTGTGGGCAAAGCCAGTCTCAGGAAATTCCTTCAGAAAGCCTGCAAATTCCCATCTAGAAAGTTTTGAATTATAAAAAGCACTGTTTTGAACTATAAGAAGATAACAGGAAGCAGCACACAGTCCAAAGCAGTTTAATCATGTAAATAACCTGAAAAGAATACTTCAGTACCATTTTAGCTTAGGATAAATTTTACTGAAAAAAAAAATTAGAAGTTACTATATTATGTTACAAAATAATTTTTAGGCCTAGAAATTAAGTCTAGACCTAGAAATTAAAGTATCTTCTTGGGTAAAATATTACTATAGATTTTTCCAAGAATAAACTAGGGGTGGGAAGAGAGATATGACTAAAAGTTGCATGTATTTACATCTCTCCCCAAACGCAAATGTGCCGACAGTATGTTTTTATGCTTAGAAAAGAGAGACTGGCACAGTGACACTGGGGTGGGGGCTGGCCCAGAGTATATGCCATAGCATGACCTTGGAGGAAATAGCAGTAGCAGCTTCAGAAGCCCTCAACCCAGAGACTGCAAATGATCAACTAGCTCGAAAGAGATTACAAGGGACCCCCATGCTAGCACTGGGTGCAGGAATGGGTGCTGTTTGGTAACTCCATTGCCCATTTGCAGTTCCAGGTTGCTGTTTCAAGGCAGAGAGGAGTGCTTGTAGTCACAAAGGAGGAAGGACAAGAGCAAAGACCAGGGTAGCAGTGGTCACACCTCTCTCCCTGGATCACACCACTTTGGAAGCACCAAAAACTTATAAACCTCCAGAACCAGTTGTAAAAACAGTAGAGTCAGGGGCAGCTAGGTGGCGCAGTGGATAGAGCGCTGGCCTTGGAGTCAGGAGGACATGACTTGAAATCCAGCCTCAGACACTTAACACTTACTAGCAGTGTGACCTTGGGCAAGTCACTTAACCCCGATCGCCTCACCAAAAAAAGAAAAAAAGAAAAGAGAGATTACCGAAAGCTAACAAATACATTGTGTATTTTCAGTACAAACCACAGATGCAGTAGAATGAATGAGGAAAGATGAATTTAATTCTTGGAAGAATTGCTTAAGAATGAGTAGACACTCTGGTAGATCTCAATTTTCTTAAAAACAAGAAATATGTAAATAACTAAAGCTGGTAATTGATTTGACATCACAATTTTAATAAATGCCCCCACCTTACCACATATTAAATATATAATATATTAAAGTTGGGAGTATTATTTCATCTAGCTGGAAAAGATGTCAGCTATCCATGCTCATGGTGGTATCCTTCCCAAGGAGGCCAAGCACAACTGGACAGGTGTTTATGAAGTTCTTACTATGTGACAGGCACTCCAGAAATGCCAGTTAAAAAGTACTGAGAAGGATGTCAAAGAGAATTGTTTGCTGCTGTGAGGACAAAGCAGGCCTCCCTCCTTCGGCAACTGCTCTGATGTCAACAACTACTGATGTTCATCACCAAGTTCACTGCTTAGAGTGAGGACAAGAAATTTCTGAAATCCTTTGATGGGGTCTTTTGGCTTTCTTCACTATTAAGCATCATTTTCAGCTGAGACAAATGACGCTTCATTTTACTGAGACTCTTTGAGGAGGAACCAGGTGTTGACTGAGCAGATGTAGGTGTTCTGAAAAAAAAACAAAAACAAAGTGCAAATTACTACTGGTCAAAGGGTAACAATTTTTTTTCTTTTAAAATTCTACCTTCTGCTCAGTTTAGAGCATTGCTAAAATGCCATAGGTGTATGGGCAATGGACTCTGAGGTTTGTTATTTTTTAGGTTTCCCATATAAAAAACAAAACCCCAGTCTTATCCATATGTTCCAAGTTTTAGTAAGTTTTAAGCTTTAATACCTTAAAACTGCACTAAGTGTTTTGGGATATCCTGTATTTAGCATTCTAGCAATTGATTATTTCAGGTATATGCTGGTATCCTTACTTCACAAGAAAATGCTTTTCTTCTTTTTTGTCTTAATAGTCTCAACTAATCAGATGCCCCTTACAGCTTCTCTAGGACACTTCAAAGGGCTGGCTGGTACAAATACTGTGCTTGAGGCGGCACCTCCTCTGAAAATATGATGATGTCAATGTGGAAAGAGAATCTTTGATGACAACCTTGAAACCACATTGTTTCTCCTTCTTTGCTCAGGTCCCTACTAACTCCCACTATGTTAGGGAATATGACCAAGAGTGCACAAATGGTCGCTGTGTCAATGAATCATTTTTATGGCCCTTAGAGCTGTATCTCTGTGTGTGTCTCCATGCATCAGTGCTTCTGACATTTCACTTGATGCAGGTATGTGGTATCCCACCCCCTGACACAGAGCATAGGCCCTGCCCCCAGGTCCCTTAGCTCATTGCTATCTGCATAGATACCTCTGGGACAGAGAAAACAGAATGAGCTCAAGAGGTATGTCTGTGGTGGTAAGATGTGACAAAGGAAGGGGAAGGAAATGAGCATTTATATGGCATGTTATTATGCCAGGTATTGGGCTAAATGCTTTTACAAATATTATCTCATTTACTACTCACAACAGCTCTGTGAGGTAGGTGCTAATATTATCCCCATTTTACAGCTGAAGGAACAGGCAAACAGTTAAGTGATTTGCCCAGGGTCAGACAGCTTGTATCTGAAGCTAGATTTGAACTCAGGCTTAGGTCTACTGCTGAATCCTGTGTACCACCTGGCTGCCTGATGCTATGGGGAGGGCTTTGGGATGACTGGCTTTGAGAAGCAGAGTAGGAATCAGAAAAGTTTTTGGGAGAAAAATGGCACATGAGTTGGGTCTAATAAACAGACCTATGATCTCATCATTGTATTCCCTCCGCTAATATAGATGACATAACTCATCTGTGCCTGCCCATCCTGTAAGACTTTGTCCATATCCTCTCCTTGTTCCCAAGATGGGGTCCACCCAACATGCCAGGGCATTTTTCAAGTTCTCTGCATATGGAAATGATATTAATGGAACATGAAAACTATCCAACTTATTAAGTGGAAAATGGGGGAGGGAAGGCATTCTCCAGCATAGAATCATAGATCCAGAACCGGAAGGGAACTCAGAGGCTATATATATATATATATATATATATATACACACACACACACACACACACACATATACACACACACATATATATATCTACACACACACACACATATACATATATACACATATACATGCATATATATATATATGTATATAGGCAATTGGGGTTAAGTGACTTGCTGGGTGACTTAGTCACACAGCTAGTAAGTGTCAAGTGCCTGGTCTGAGGCCACATTTAAGCTCAGGTCCTCCTGAATCCAGGTGCTCTATCCATTGTGCCACCTAGCGGCCCCATAGAGGCCATATATTCTAACCCGCTCATTGCACTTAAGAAGAAACTAAGCTCAGGGAAGCTGTGACTTTCGCGCTAGGGCCTAACACACTAAGCCATGCTACCTACACAGTGCAGGCAAAGACGAGGAGCACAGGAAAGATGCCACGTTCTCAGGACTGGCAAACAGTCGTTTGACTGGAAAGTAAAATGTCACAGGAGCAAAGACGTGAAGGTTGGAAAGACGGGTTTGAACCAGCCTGTGGAAGGTTTTGCATGCAACAGTGTCTTTCAAACAACAAGCACTTTGTAAATGTTTGGTGAATGGGAATTTAAAAGCCAGAAAAAGGAACTGGGACTTCATTTGTCAGGTCCATGTTATCCAAAATGATGATGTCAGATACTCTAATTCTCAATCAAATCAAGTGATTTCGGGGTCAGAACACACATTTTATGCCATCACCCACTTCAACCTGCAGTGTAGAGAGTTACACTTTGTTTCAGTTTTGAAAACATCAACATAAAAATTTCAACTTTGTGTCGAAATGAAGACAGTCCAAGTCCCTGCTGAATTTATTGTCTCAGCTCAAGAGAATACCTTCTCCCATTCTCCCTTCTGTAAAAGCTAAAGTTTAAGATTTCTCGGAGAAGCCCTGTGGGACTAAGCAATCCGTCTAGTCTATTAAAAATATTTAATATTGGCACTTCAAATAAAGTTTTAAGATACCTGAAAATTAACGCTGGACTATTGTCTCTGGAACCAGACTTATTACTGCTGAAGGATTTCTTTTTTTTCTTTGTAGATCCTGAAGCTTTTATATCCGGTGTCCTCATGTCAGGTTTGATCTTGGGAGTGCTAAGATTATTTTTCATTTCTGCCAGGAAGCTTCTGCTTTTACCGTTATATCTCACTGTTTTGTTGCATGCTTTGCAGGTGACCAACTACAAAGAGAAAAAGACACATAAAATCTATGTTATGTACAAATTGAGCCTCAGTTTACTTATATGTAAAATAAAAGGTATAGATTCTTCTAGCTCCAAATCTACTACCTTATGATTACGTGAAAACAGTTTAACTCCCATCCTCCACATATTTATGTTTTAAAATTTAGCTAGCATTTATATATGTTATCTCAATTGATCCTTTTGTTACAATATTATACATGTTCTCTCAATTTGATCCTCAAAGTTAAGGTGAAAAAACTAACAACATGCTTTGTTAACAGTTCTCAGAGAAGAGAAAGTCATAGTAGGCTTTTTAATTTCATTCAGATGGTATTAAAAGCTACCTTAAGGGACAGGGAACTCCCACTACTAATGTTCTTTACAACCTAGAATCAGAGAGGTGCCTAGAACACTGAGAAGTTATGTTGGGTGGGACCAGAGACCCGGGTTGAAAATAACTTTCTACCATTCAGTTCTGGGAATGATTTTGTTGTTACATTTTTAATTTGTTTTTTAGTGTTCAAGATGCTTGACTTTAGATAATCATGAATTACAAAATAAAAACTACCCTGGATAAATGAGAATCATTGAGAATTTTTTGTTTGAACTTCAGTTTTAAAAACACCTAAGCCTTAAAATATAATTCTGATATTTCAGATAAAGTCAGTCTTGGGAAAAATTATCTTTATCTTCTATAATTTAACAATCACAATAAGAGTAAGCCCAAATAAAAATATTCTTCAACATGCAAATATTTCCTTTAGAAAAATAAGTTTAAAAAAAAAAAGAAAATACTTTTTAGTCACACACTCAGATTAAGATCTTACCAGAATACTTTTGGAGTCCCAGTACTTTTTAAGAATCTTTGTTTCTTTAAAAGTGAGTCTACAGTTTTTTGATTCTCGATTAAGAAGTTTCTTTACTTTTGGTGTTAGTTTTGGCTTGGGCTTGAGGCGAACTCTGTATCTATCCAGCACCAGAAATTGGTAACAATATGGACATTGGCCTTCTGAAACCAACTTTTCATCTATAAATAAAAAAATGAAGCAACTTAAAAATGAAGTCTTAAAAGACTTAGCTAAAATCATACCTAATTTGAATATATTACTTCTTAAAGAATTTTTACCACATAAAATCACACCTAATTTGAACATATTACTTCTATTTTTTTTTTTTTTGGTGAGGCAATTGGGGTTAAGTGACTTGCCCAGAGTCACACAGCTAGTAAGTGTTAAGTGTCTGAGGCCCAATTTGAACTCAGGTCCTCCTGACTCCAGGGCCAGTGCTCTATTCACTGAGCCACCTACCTGCCCCCAAATATATTACTTCTTAAAGAGTTTTTTTTTACCAAAACTAGAAATATGAACAAATATATTCAAACAAAAATATTTATCTGAGGCTTACCAACAGGTAACACAAACAGTAAAGAACTACATGCAATAAATGAAAATCTAGCTTTACCAAAAAAAAAAAAAAAAAAAAGCAGAGGGTGTTAAAACTGAAACACAAGATGACTCAACTTACATGCTATTTCAGTAATGTATAGAAAGTGCCTTGTTTTTGTCATTTTGCTTATAAAGATTTGTGCTTTAAGTCATCCTTCACACTAATTCTAGTTTCTTCTAATGTTCAAACCCAGGGGTGCATGTAGTCATAAGGAATAGGGCTATGGCAATCTTCTGTAAGATTCAAATCAGAAAATCTGAGGGTTGAAAGGGGCTTCCATGGCCATCCAGTCCAGCCCATACAATAAAGGCGGCCTGACTATATATAACATATATGACAAATTGGCATCCAGTCTGAACGTGTACAAGGAACGGGAAGCTATCACTTTTCAAGTAACTCTACTTCTGGGCAGCTCTAAGCATTAGAAAACTTTTCCTGCCATCTGCACTAAATTTGCCTCTTTGTAGCTTTTGCCTCTTGCTCCGGGTTGTACCCACTGGGGCCAAACAAGTTTAAACTTTCTTCAATATTCCAACCCTTCTAATAGCAGAAGAAATCTCAGTCCCCTAGGAGTCTTCTCCAGGATAACCATCCCCAGGTGCTTTAACTAATCTTCATCTGACAAAGAACCAAAGCCTGTTGTGCCCTGCGTCTCCTCCTCCAGACAATATTCAGTCCATCAATGTCCTCCGTCAACTGTGGTACCCAGAACTGAAACTGTACCATAGATGAGTTCAGCCCAAGGCAGAGTACTGTAGGTTTCTCTCACAATACAAGCTTTTTCTGGCTACTGCCTGACATTGTTGAATCATATTGAGCTATCAGTTCACTAAAATGTCCAGGTCTTTCCCCAAAACTTCTGTCTATTCAAAGAGATCACCCACACATACAAAAATATTTACAGCAGCTCTTTTTGTGATAGCAAAGAATTCAAAATTGAGGGGATGCCCATCAAATGAAGACCAACTGAACAAGTTGTAGCATATGGATGTGATGGAATTCTGTTGTGCTGTAAGAAATAGTGAATGGGATGGTTTCAGAGAAACCTGAAAAGACTTATTTGAACTGATGCAGAGTAAAGTGGGCAGAACCAGGAGGATAATCTACACAGTAACAGCAATATTGTAAAGACAATAAACTTCGAAAGACTTAGTAACTCTGACCAACCTAATTACCAACCAGAATTCCAAAGAACTCATGATGAAACATGTTATCCACTTGCAAACAGATAGCTGATGGACTCAGAGTCCAGACAGAAGCCTATTTTCTTCTCTTTCTTTTTGTTTTGGCCAGGGCTAATATGGAAATTTGTTTTGCATGACCATACATATTTGTAATGGGTTTTATCTTTCTTGCCATCTCAGTGAGTGAGGAAGGGGGAGGATGGAGGTAAAGAATTCAGAACCGAAAATAAAACTGAATTTAAAAAACAAACAAACCCTAAACTGCTGTTTAGACATATTCCCTATCTTATACTGGTGAGGAAGCTGATTTTGTACCCAAATATAATATAGCACAGAGGATATGGCATTAGACTTGGAGTCATGAAGACCTAGATTCAAATTCCACATCAGAAATTACTAGTTGAGTGACCCTGAGCAAGTCACTTAACTTCTGACTCAGTTCCTCAACTTTAAAATGGAGCTTATACTAGCAATCTCCTTGGGTTGCTGTGAGGACCAAATAATTTGTAAAGTGCTCAGAAGACAGTAGGTTCCATGCAAATTCTAGCTAATAGTATTACTGATTACATGTAGATTTCTTCTTCTCTGCCAGAAACTCTAGGAATAAATGGTTACTTTCCTCCAGTGTCTCTACCATTCCACTCCAGCAACCAGCCGCTATTAGTGAGAATCAGATGTAGTCAAAACCATGTATCACCTGTATCTACCTGTTTTGTAAAGTGAGGTACTAGATTTCTCCAAGATACCCTGTAACATTACCACAAATAAGATTTTCGAAATCGATAGTTATGTTCTTCTATGTCTTTTTCTTTTCTTTTTTCTTTTTTTTTAGGCAATTGGGGTTAAGTGACTTGCCCAGGGTCACACAGCTAGTAAGTGTCAAGTGTTTGGTCTGAGGCCAGATTTGAACTCAGGTCCTCCTGACTTCAGGGCTGGTGCTCTATCCACTGCACCACCTAGCTGCCCCATTCTATGTCTTTTTCCCCCACTAGATTATAAGAGTAGTAGAGAGTGACATGTTAGCAGGTATAATAAAGCTGAGAATTCAAAGGGGTCTCACCAAATTTGGGATTAGAGGAATTAGAGGAACTGAGTTCAAATCCTGGTTCTGCTATTTACTACCTGTGTGACTTCAGGCTTATATGTGTTCTAATACATATGATACACTTGATCAGGAGGACCCATATTGGGATCTTCTGAGAAATAAAAATAATAAAAACCTAGATCGTTCTTATTTCTCTTTAGAACATTTTGGAGGTGAACATCATTGCCATCCACACATAAGATAATATGCAATACTAATAACTCAGTAATAACACTGGTTTACGAGCTCTAATCTGGTACATTTCTGTTACAATAGAGTTAATAAAACGAAGATTTAAAAAAATCCCAAGGATGATGAATCTTTATCTTATAGATCAGAACATAGGATTCAGAGCTAGAAGGGATCTTACAAATGACCTAGTCATATCTCCTTATTTTAAAGACGAAAAATCTCAGTGTCAGAGGGTGATTTGTTCAATATCATACATGTATTAAGTACTAGATCCATGATACAACACCAGGTTCTCTGGTTTGAAATTCTACATTTGTAATTTCTTTTTTTAAACCACTATACCACTGATGCCTTGTTTGGTCTGCAGCTTGATTTCACCCCATGGAAAAGCGCTCTGGAAAATAAATTCCATCCTGGAGGTATTGCCAGGTGTTCTTACTCAGGTTTGATAACATTTATTAAAACTGGTTATCTTCAGAAGACAGTTTACTTCAAAAGGAAAACACAACCAGACTGAAAAACTGGTTTCTCAATTCTACTCAACTGCTCCTGGGTCTTCTTTCCTTGCTACATATTGGTAAGCTCAAGAAATGAAAATTAGTTTAAATAACAAATCATAATTAGAAAGGCAAACTACCGGCTTAAAAATATTACATAAAGTATATTCTATTTCTTAAAAACCTGATATACAAACATACAAATGTATCCACAAAAATTTATCAATGGTTTCCCTTAAAATATGTAGCTGTCTTATTACATTTAAAATATGCTTTAAAATCCCCTCCATGAAAGCATTCTTCATTTCCCTGAGCTACAAGTAATCCTGATCTCCTTTAAACTTTCATAATATTTTGGTTCATATCTTTCTTCTGCACTTGTGATATTGTACTTTCTATTAGTTAAGTGAATATATCTTATCTCCTACTAAATGGAAAGCTTCTTAAAATCAAGTATCTTATTCATCTTTGTTATTTCCCTAAGGGCCCAGCACAGACCCTTGTACTTCACAGAGGCATATTAAATGTTTTTTGAATTGAACTTTGTATAATTCTTATTTGCTAAATAAATTAATGCATGACTTATGTGCCAGAATTCCCTGGGCTTTGCATTTCAGTTCTGATTTTGTCACATGCTGGCCATGTGACCTTAGGCAAGTGGCTTAACCTCTTCTTCCTCCAGGCAACCCTCTAAATATCTAAGTGGGAGAACACTAGCCTATTAATAATAAGTTAACATTTATAGAGAGCTTACCAGGTACTGCACTTTATAATTACAATACACTTTACAATTATTATCTCACTTGATCCTTGTAACAACCCTGGGAGGTAGGTGCTATTATCATCTCCATTTTACCAATGAAGAAACTGAGCCAAAGGTTAAGTGACTTGAAAAGGGTCATGCAACAAACAAGTATTTTCGGATGGATTTGAACTCAGGTTTTCCTGACTCCAGCTCCAGGGTGGTTCTCAATACCTCAAGTGGCACAGAGGTGGGATGTCTCTGGAATTAGGGGTATACAGAATGACAGTCTCAGAATGGGGAAATCGGGGGGTGAAAAGAAGGATAGGGTATCCCTGGCACAAGGTCCATTTACCCCTTCTAAAAAAGTGTTCCAAGTTTAGGTTGCTCTTGGGGGTGGGAATAATTGGCTTTAATGGCAGGGAGGTGTTAAAAGGAAGAGACAGGACCCCTTTATAGAGACTAGTTCTAGGTCAAGAAAATCCTCATCCTTCCCATGACTATGGCTTTTGTACTGGTCCTGTGACTGCTCCCTGCCCCTTGACCATCCCCTGGGGCAGCCTTGTACAGAAGATGGTCAGGGGCTTAGTGACAGCACAGCACCCAGAGTTGGCTTGGTGCTACACCCAGCTGGAGCAAGACCAGATATTGCAGGATAGTACGAGCTAGAGAGGGGTGATGGCCCAGTGGGGACCCTAGCTCCAATGGACACAGAAACCAGGATTAACCTGGTTTCCTCCTGCCCGATCTCTCTATCAGCAGACAAGGGGTAGGGAGCAGGAAGGATCAGATACTGATATTCTTATGCTGAATATATGGCTGTTGAGAAAGGAAGGTGAGGGATGGCCCACAGAGGACAGGAGTAGTGGAAGGAAGAAAACTTCCTGGGAATAATAAGCTCTCTCCCGTGCTTCAGTTCAAGGAATTTCCATTTAAACCCAGTGGGGCTCGGATGGAGTGGGTAGGAAGAAACAGGCACCACCAGGGGAGCCTCTTGAGAGGGAGGTGCCATCCAGTGGAGGCCAATGGGCACTATACCCTGGTCAGGGTGACAGGGCTACCAGAAGAATGGAAGCAAGCAACCTTGGATGCAGAGCTAACAGAGCCCAGTGGTGGGGGTGTGGGGCAGGGAGCACAAGGGATTTAGGGGTGCTCAGGCACTGAAACCCTCTTGTCATGGGGGAGTACCAGCTCCCCCCACGCTGGAGAGAGAAGCTGGTGGGGTTTAGGGAACAAGGCCCTTTGGCACAGAGACAAATGCCCAGGATTTTAGGGTCCTGGGGAGGTTCTAACTATAGGGGGTAAAGAAACAAAGCTGTCAGGGATTATTCCCTGCCTCCCGCCCACTGCACTGCCCAGGTGCCTGGCCTCTGGGAATGGAGATGCCATCTGCACTGCGCTGCCTTCTTCACTGGACTGCTGCGATCTATAATCGACTAGAAAGGGCCACACAAACATTATTGATTACCTTCATCACTGCTTTCCTTCGCTATACACGAGAATCGGCTAATTTTATGATATACAGACTTAGAAAGAAAAACATCCTCCCCAACTCTCTTCTTGAGTATTCTCCTATATACTCACCGTGTGAGGAATTGTACGTCCAGCTTTATAAAAAGGAAAGAAAAAAAAAGCTTATTTACTGTTGAACTGAATTGAATAGAAATATATCGGGGTAGGGAACGGGTCTGTTTCTGGCCACGCCCCCAGCGTCACTGCGCATGCTCCCTCCGCCTCCCAGCTACACATCCAGGGAGCCTTTCTTCCCCCTTCTCTCCCCTGAAGTCGCTCTCGTTTCCTCTTACAGAAGATACCGGGCCTGGCCCGGGCAGGCTTCCATTAGCTTCTCAGCAGCCATTCTCAGGAAATGCTTATTCTTCATAACTGGCGCCGCCGCCACGGGACAAGAGCAAAACAAACTCCACGCCGATCAGAGGGGAAAAGGAAATTGAATCTCTCTCTGAGCGCTCACTTCCGGCCTTCGGCGTCCGGAAACAACTACCGGAGGTGCAAAAGTTCCGATTTTCTAGGCTGGAAGAATTAGCACGCAAGCGCACACCGGGGGCGGAGTCTCGTCTCTGGCTCCGCGCTGAGCCCCTCCCTCTTTTGTCCCCGCCTCCTGGGATGTCACGCCCGTCTTCACGCCCGGTCTCTCTGATGGAGGTGTTGCTGGAGGTGTCAGGGGTTTCCATTCATTTCCCGCAGGCACCACGTTGTACCAAGCACTGGGGTAGGGGAGGGATGCAGACGGAAGACATGGCCCCTGCCCACCCGAGCCCAAATCGGGGAGATTGGTTCAGCCATCAAACTAACACGCAAGACCTACTATGCGTAACTAAGACATGCACGCCAGTAGCTATCATCCAGAGTAGAATAACTGGCAAAAGGTGTTTTCCTTCGCGAGTGGACCCAGTGGAGACGGATTCCTATTTTTTTTTCTTCGGGTGAAGAAATTAAGACTTGGGGTAATTGTCTTGCCGAAAGTCTTAACAGAGCTGGAATCTGAACCCAAGTCTGCACAGCCACAGGTTTATCTTTGGAAAGAACCCCCTAAATCACCTAAGTCGACTTCTTCATTTTGCTGTCGAGGAACCCAAGATCCCGAGGAACCCTGATCCAGATCCAGTCTTCTTCTTCTTTTTTATAAACCATACCATATTACTTCTCAAAATATAAGATAAATAGGCCATATGAATTATGTGTCTTAAGCACTCACTATGTACCAGACACTGCTAAGTGCTTGGGAATACAAAGAGAGGCAAAAGAGTCCCTGCCCTCCAGGAGCTCTAAATCTAACAAGGGAGACAACAAACAAATATATACAAAGTGAGCTATATACAGGATAAATAGGAAATAAGAGAGGGAAAGTAGTGTAAGAATTCGTAGAAAGGAGAGAATAATTCATGGAGAGGAAAGGGGTTCTGTCACATCCATTCCCTTATTCTGTGACTTCTACTACCCACTTTAGTTAATCAATAAATAAACATTTATTAATGTGTGCCTACTATGTAAGTAATGCCTACTATGTGCCAGGCATTGCGCAAAGCTCTGTGGATGCAAAAAGGAGCAAAAGACAATCCCTGCTTTCAAATGAAATCACAATTGAATGGGGGAGACAACATGTGAACAAAAATATAGGAAGCAAACAGTATACAGAATAAATAGGAAATAATTAAAAGAGGAAAGGTACTGGAATTAAGAGAGGTTGGTGAAGGCTTCCTGTGGAAGGTGAAGTAGCTGGAATGAAGGAGTTAAGGTTCTCATAAGGTGGGTTAAGTGTATTTAACTATAGTATAGTATTATACTAAAGTACATATAATTTTAAACCCTGGATCCTTCAATAAGAAGACTTCAAAAGCCATCTTCACTACATGACTTCATCTGTTCCAGAAGGTACTAATCATTAAATCAAAACTCCTTGATTTAAGATTACCTAAATTTTAGGTAATCTTTAGATCCTAAAGCATCCACGATGAAACTGGGGTAGATTGTAAAGAATTTCATAGTCATTTGAGACCTGTGCTACCTGTATAAGAAGTTAGTAAGCCCTGTTAAAAACAAAACATTTGGCAAACAAAATATATAATTATTGGTTAGAGAGGTTCCTTTCTGTCACACATAGGCACAGAGTCAAAAGAAAGTAAAAATGTATCTCATCTTAAAATGAAACAAAAGAAGATTTACTCCAGTGATGTTATACCTTGGACCTGAAGGATCAATTACTATGTCATGCAGTAGTTTTGATGACTTTGGGAGACCTAGATCTAAATGAGAAATAAATCTGTGAATATTTTTATTAGCATAGGGAAATATTGCCAAAATCTGGTTTCTCTAGTTATTTGCATAACCTTTCCTAAAAGGTGAATTTCCCACAGATGGTTTAAAATAAATTATCTTCTCATTTGAATTTCTAGACTCTCACTTTCCTTCCATCTTCTTCATCTCCATCAAATACTTATCAGAGGGATTTCTCACCTTTTGGGAATGATGACACCATACTGTTTGATATTATAATACATCCCTCTCCAAAATATGCTGTCTAGCACATATTTATTTTTGAAATTAAAGTCAGATAAAATTCTGTTTTGAGAATTTGAAAATATCATGACATCCCCCTGAGATGTTTGGAGATGCTTAGGTTGTTTCAAAACAAGTACTGAAAGGCACTAATTCATCAAATAATTTTTGTGTGTATACAACAGTTGTAATATTATTTTTTTAGCCATTTTCAGTCATGTTGGACTCTTTGTGACCCCATTTTGGAGTTTTCTTGGCAAAGATACTGGAGTAGTTTGCCATTTCCTTCTCCAGCTCATTTTACAGATGAAGAAACTGAGGCCAACAGAGTTAAGTGACTTACCCAGGGTCACACAGCTAATAAGTTTCTAAAGCCAGATTTGAACTCAAGAAGAATCTTCCTGACTGGGCCAGCACTCTATCCACTGTGCCACCTAGCTGCCCTTTCTAGTATTTAAAATGATTCAAATGTACTTGGAGCATTTTTTCTTTTTTTTCTTTTATGAAGAGAAAAGATGTTTATTAGTCAGTGAGCCAGACAGTGTAACATCCTACATTTAACATTTCATATTTCATATTTGAAATGACATTTCAAATTTTCTTTTCTACTAGTCCTTCAGCTGAGCCCACAAATGGATCTGTCCATGACTTGAAAAATTCCTTTGATTGAGAAAGGTAAGTCCTTTGGAAATACTTAACAATATGTGGCTTTTCATGTAGAAAAAAAAAAATTATTGAATCACAGAAGGTCAGAGCTGGAAGGGACCTTAAAGATCACTTAATGTAATGCCTCTTACTTGACATATATGGTTACGGGGGACCAGATAGGTGAACTGATTTTCCCACGGTCACAGAAACTCAGATTTGGAAGGAACCTTACAGGTTATTTAGCCTAGCTTCCTACCTTGGACAGTAATCCCTCTATTATATCCATGATCAGTGGTCACTTAGATTCGATGGTGGTCACCATACTTGGATCTGAAACTGGGAGGCACCTTAGAGGTCATATGGTCCCACACTCTCATTTTACAGATGAAGAAATAAAAGTTCAGAGAAATAAATGACTTGCCTAAGGTCATACAAGTAGTAGTAAGTTACAGAGCCAGGATTCCCACTCAGGTCCCATGACTACAAGTTCAACCTTTTTTTCCCCACCAAACTATACTTTCTTTCATTACCTTGCAAGCTAGGCTTTCCATAGTTGGATAGCTTTAAAGGCTCTTCTTTGTATTGCCTGATGTAGAAAAAACAATACAATTCCTTACATTTACATAGTGCCTTACAACTTATAAAAAATGCTTTCGTGTACATTATTTCATATAATTTTCACAAAGCTCTGTGCAGTAGGTAGTACTTGTACTATCTTCTATGACTTTTCCGCTATGCCCCCAGTAAACCCATCATTGGGAAATCTCATCATCCCACAAGGTCCAGTCAGTCTTGCTAGTCACACCTCATCAGTTTCCTCTGTCCCTCTGACTGGAGGGAGGACCGATGAACTCTTGAATTTAAGGAGAGCGGATAAGACAGATATGTCCGTATTTCTCACTGGCTGCACTAATTTTGTATTATTTTGGCTTCTCCAGCATTTCTTCCTCCTCTTTTGCATGTTTCTCCCCCCAGCTGATTGTAAGCTCCTGGAGAGCAGGGACTATCTTTCTTTTTCATATCTGTGTTCCCAGAACTTAGCATAGTATCTGGTACATAATGATGCTTAATAAATGTTTATTGACTATTGACTATCTACTTTTTACAGATAAGGAAATTGAGACACAGAGAAGTTAAACTTTCTTAATGTCATATAACTAGTAACTGGTGGAGCCAGGACTTGAAAAGGTCATCCAGTACAATATCCAATATACTACAATACTTTGCTGTAACTTCCATACTTTGGTCCTAATTTTACCCTTTGGAATGATACAGAAGAAGTCTGATAGGTCAAGTATTCAAGATAGCCATGATGATCATCCTGGATCTTTTCTTCTCTAGACTAAAAACCCCTAATTCATTCATCAGTTTATAATTAATATTGGAAATGAAATTTATCAGGCTCATATTGAATCTTATTAGTTTTGCCTTTTTATTTGTAAGTTAAATAATTTACTGTTAGAATCCAGAGATCTATAGTAACCATTGGTCATGGAATATCATTGCTGACTTAGGCTAGAAGTTGGGAACCTCCACACTATGGGTTAGATTTGGTTCTCAGCTTATTTTCCTACAAAAAAGTGATGATTGCAAAATTGTAACACTATTTTGAAACACTTTAGTGGCAGTGTCACAAAATGATATTCTTATCCTTTGAAAATTCTTATCCTTATACTCTTCCCTTTCTAGAAAAGGAAATAAAGTTTTTTTCTTCAAAATAAGAAAAATCAAGGATTTCAAGAATACTTGTGTGATATCCTAGGTATTGCCTAGTTATAATTTATGAGTTTGAGATAATACTTAACTAGACTTTGCAAATTTGAGTTGAGGCATTTTTTTTTTCAGCTGTTGGCTTTTGCTGAAAGCAGATCCAGGTGTGCTGATAAATGTTCAACAACCAGCTCTCTGGGGAAAAAAATGTACACACGACACTTGTAAGTTTAATTTGCATTGTTAATTTTCTCCACTACTTTCTTAAGTTTAGACAACCAACAAAACAGTAAATCAAGCCCTGATTTGTATTTTTTGCTAAATTCTGAAGCACAAATGCTCAAACTAAAAATTCAACAGTTGACTTTCTTGAGTCAGTTTGATTTGGCTTCAGCAAAACCCTAGAGCCAGCTATTTTGGTAATTTTAACTGAACACTGTGGAGACCTCAGGAACGTATAATATAAATTCAGAGAGAACATAAATAAGAATTTAAACCTTGTAAGAAATATCTATACTTGTAATCAAATAACACTAAGTAAATACAATATAAATACAATGAATAAGATGTAACAATGATATAAAAGTAATAATAAAACTACTCTTTACTTCTGAGATATGCTCTCAGAAATGA